CATCGCTACCAAAATATAAGTTATCTTGAAGAATTCATTACTCGTGTAATTTTAAAAACATTATTATTGATTTTTTTTAAAAGTATAAGAGGCCAACATTGTTGGTCAATCTAAACTGTTAAAAAATAAGTACATTATTTTTTCGAACGCTCTTGCACTTTCTATGTTCACTGCTATAATATCAAATCATTGTTTAATAACAACAATCATTTATTATTATAATAAAATTAAAATTAAATTGTTGCATAGTATAGTTCTCATTATTGCGCTCAATAACAACATAACTTTCTACAGATACAATAGTAAATTCGTGATATTAGTGTAATATTATAGTTAAATTACTGATATATACATACTAATATCAATTATGCAATTTATTACAAACGTCTGGATCTTAATCACTTTCAATACAAATACAGATAAATTATGGTGTTACAAATTATAAAATATGGCAATGATTCTGTATCATTTTGTTTATTTCCCGCAATTGATCTTTTCTAATATAAATTATTCAAGAAATTAAACTTTTTCTGATTGTAGAACTTGTTATAATATGTGTTGAATTTAATGCAATATTGTCATAACTTGATAGATATTCGTACATGAAGCCGTCAACTATAATATGTTTTTTATGTTCGAACTGGAACATTGCATGGAGCACGTATACTTCGAATTATGTCAGTACATCTTAATACATCTTCGAAACCTCGCTTATACATGCCTCGTACCTTGATGAGGAAATATGCATTGACGATAGCGTACGTTTCTGTACATTGGGATCGTTGTAGGACATATATCTCATGTGCAAATTGCGATTGGTGATAATCGAGGCAACCACATGTTCATGCCTCAAGCTATGTGGAAGACGTTTATCGAAAAGCGTGCAGATATCGAGTGATTAATGCAGTCAATAGTTCCATCATTATCACGATTCAAGATCTAAATGTGGAACTTGTTAAAATATATAATACGAAAAACGTGAAGTTAAATATATGTTTATACATGAAATCAAGCTGTGCTTTTCTTATTTGAGCTTGAGTAATGTGAAACATGTTGAACATGTATTCTATGAATTGAGTCAATACGCACGATGATAAGGAATTCGAATATTTTGTGTCATTTTTAAGACAAAATCGTATTACTAATAAAAGCGATGTTGCAAACACTTTGTACAAAATTTATGATAAAAATTCTATTATAGAATGTGAACTAGTAATGTATAGTTTATATTATATTGTATATATTGCATTAAATGATAAATAAATGTATATTATTGTAAAATATATATTCTTTTCTTCTAAAATTATTTTATCCTTAGTATCTTCGCCACTTTTTCTTCATATCTTCTAGTAGTATTGAATTAGTCAATAAGAAAACGCACCTAGTCATTTGTATTACATTGATAAAAAAAGAATATTATTATAATTAGTGTTACTAGGTTATATTATTAAAAATTCATAAAAATATTATCATAATTAGTTTTTAAGTTGTATCATTAAAAATCATAAATATCATATCTATTTAATTAAATCACGTGCAGGAAGAAAAGCAAGTAGAAAAGAGCGCGGAACAGGAGAAAGAGAGATCGCAAATAATAATAAGACAATAAAGTATAAGACTACAACAGATAGAAAAAGACATCCTACAATGGATAAGAAAGAAAGAATGAGTTAGAAAGAGAGAAGGAATGGAATCCCCTTCCCTTTCTAACACTGCTCCCCCGTGACACGTTTCCCTCTTCCCAACGTCTGTGACTTCGTTTTCCTCATCCACGTGACACTAGAGCCATCTGCTGGTTGCTGTATCCGTGAGTTAGAAACCCTACTATTATCCTACTTACTCTTATTATTTACTTGGAACAAGTAGTATTTGTGTAACATTTTTCTGTACATATGCACTCTTCAGAACGAACTAAACTCAGTTTTTTTCAACAGTTATTAATCATTTTTCAATTTTCGCAATTGAGATATTATTTCTAAAGTGCCGAATATCTGCCATCGAGCTTAGCGCGCGGAAAGTGGGGCAAGCGACCCGTTCACCGCCATGAGCCTCGTATGGCGCGACGCGCTTGCTAGGCCATCCCGCGCCTCACGCGGCCCACGCGCCGTGCGCGTCAATAGTAGATCGAATGGACGCGCGTATTTGGCTATCTTTAAACGTTAATATCTCATTAACTATTGCGAGCATTTCAAAATGGTAGAGGACTTTTTGACTCAGTTTAGTTCGCTCCTGCTCAAGACGGAGGACCAAATTGGAGCCATCCTGTAATATTTCTGATATTTATGTAATATTACGTAAAATATGGTGTAGCATTTTTAATTTGTTGATGCAACCAATTAAAAATGCTATGCCATATTCAGTCATTTCTTTCTTTCAGTGTATTACTGTGAATACACTAGCATTTATTATATTTTCCTGCCCTCAGTGTTACCCAAGATCAATGACGTGGATAATGCTGAGAATAGGAAAATATATATGATTTCAACATTTTATCTTCTGGAGTAATACTATACTGGAGTCATACTATGAGCCTTCAGATTGATACATTGCAGGAACTCGGACAAAAACCGAAAATCGAACCGTAACCGTTATTTTTGTCGGACCAAAATCAACAACCGGAATATTGTGTAGATTAATAGACCGAAACCGTAACCGGATCGAAAATGTTTTTCGATTAGTTTTCAGTCCAGGTTCGGATTTTTTAACTTCTTCGGTATGTATAATTGTCGATTATAGTCTACAGCTATCAAACATACATATCTCCATGTAATAATCATATTTATCCCTAGGCCGAACGTCGGCTATGGTGAACAACAAGAACAATGTTTTGCAGTCGAAAGAGAGAGGGATGCTCGCCTGTGGTTGCAACACTTGTAAAAATGGATGATGTCTGTCCTTAACTCCTATGATAGTCAGTAAATAGTTGTAAAAAACACGAGAAGACCGAGAAGTTTATCAAACTTTATTCAATGCGCATGCATAGTCTAGTTTTGTGACACGTTTCTTTTGCCACTTTTATTGACTCGAAAGGAATCAGGGGGAAGTAAGGATAGTCTTCGCCCATTTTTACAAGTGTTTTGAAGCAATCTCATTATTTGGTTTTACCTAAATTCTCTTTATTTACATGTTATGCAAGAAATTTTAACGTGTCATTTTTCACTTATGCCATAATCCAATGTTGCCACAGCAACTACAGAAAGGTCTTAAAGAGGAAAAGGATTTTAAGTAGCAATATTACAGGATGTCCACGGAGTGTTACTTTCTTACTTCCTTGCTTAATTATGATAATTTAGTAAGAATAATATGTTATTTTATAGAAAATTATTAAAAAGCTGCAAACGACCATTGGCGGCGCTACAAATCGCTGACATAATCGACGTAGATAACATCGCAGAAAATAATAAAAATGAAACAGCAAAGAAAGAAAAAAAATGATCTGTTTACTTTACACTAGTTTAGAATCTAGAATTAGAGTACTTGTGTCCGTTTCTACCAATGCAGTTGAACTTTAATCTCGGTTCAACTAACTCTTTATTTTTTTCTAATTTTAAAAATTAAAAAAAGATGAAGAATAAGGGTCTTAGCAGAAAGGCTGACTTAAAATTTTAAGACAGTATGATTAAGACTTAATTTCACAATTCACTTTTGTGGTTCAACTTATTCCTCATCTCTTTTCAATTATAGAATTGACAAGAAATAAAGAATAAGTTGAACCTCGATTAAGAGTCAATCATGAGTTGTGGAAATGAACCTAAATCTCATAGCTTTAATAATGAATTGTCTTAAGATTATAAATCAGCCTTCTACTAAGGCTCTAAATTGAACCGAGATTAAAGTTAAACTGCATTGGTAGAAACAGGTCTTACACTGCTTAGTGCTTACATATCTCCAATTGTCTTAAAATAAACATAAATTTCTTTAAATATGCAATTTATGCTTGTTGTATTACTTTTCTCTATAATAGATCATATCGTAATCGAAAAAAACTTAAATCCAAATGATTATGGTCATCGTTATTGATAAAAAGAATCGGAACCAAAACCGAAAATTTGGATACAGCCGTGACCATAATCGGACCGAAAAGAAATTTCAGTCCTTGATACGATAAAGTATGACTTTGGAAAGTATATAATTATAATTA